ACTGGCAATGCCAGAAATTGTACATTGTAAAAGTGGATTTTCATATGATGTTGTACTGAATTGGACTACTTTTACAAGAAAAATCACAAAAAAAACATTTAATAAAACAAATTAGCTGGGCATGTTGGCACCTGCCTGTTGTAATCCCAGCACTCAGGAGGCTGGAGCAAGAGCATTGCTGTGTGCTCGTGACCAGCCCGCACTACATAGTGAGTTCAAGGCCAGCATGAATTACATAGTAAGACCCTGTCTCAAAAACAAACAAAACAAAACACAAATGTAACATGGAGCATAATGTGGGTAAAACTTAACTGTTGCCACTTTAACATATGTGCATATCTTGTCATTTCTTTTATCAAGTGGCTGAACACAAGGATTGCTTCTGTATTCCTCCAGAGCAACTACTGAGATGCATAGCTGGCTACTGTTTTGCTGAGTTACGTATTTTCATTATAAGAGTATGGGACTGGGGATATAGCTCAGTGGCACAGTGCCTGCCTGGCAAGGGAAAGGTCCTGAGTTCAATTCCTGACACCTCCTTGAAAAGGTAGGGCCATCTTTTAACCACCCACGATCCCCCTAAGGTAATCTAAAGTCCCCATTTCCAATCTTCAGGGAGCCAAGAAGCCAGGCAGGTATTACCAAGGGAATCTAGACCTTCATGAAGCCTGGTTTTCTGCAATAAATTGCAAGGAAGGATTTCAGGGAGCTGGTACAGGAACCCAAAGAACAGAAGAGATTTACAAGAGATAACCCATGGCTGTGAGTGCATTTTATTTGAATCCTAATTCAGAAAGCATTTTAAGCAGGACGTGGTGGTGCACACCTGTGATCCCAGTGCTCTGGAGGCTGAGGCAGAAGGATGGCCATGAGTTCTAGGCCAGCCTGGACTACATAGTGAGCTTAAGGCCAGCCTGAACTGTATAGCAAGACCTTGTCTCAAAAACAAAACAAAGCAAAGCAAAGCAAAAGAAAACAAATCAACCCCACCACACATATTGAAAAGAGATGACAACATTTATAATCACAAATTTGGACACTAGAGCTAATGCAATTCAGGAACAGAGAAATTAAAACTTTTGAATTGTGGTAAAGTACAAAATTCACCACTGTATGTTTAAGCACACAATTCAGCAACATGAAGTACCTTCACATGGCTGTGCAATCAAGTCCAAGAGGGGTTTTTATCATGCAAAGCACAGGCTATCCCACTAGTCCCCAAGGCTCCATCCCCTCTACCTCAGGCCCTGGCAGCCACTGTTCCCCTTTTTGTCTCTATGGGTCTCATCACTGTAGTCCCTTTACAGAAGAGGAATTGAAATCGATTCAGATGTGGCAGAAGCTGACTGGGGAATGCACAGAACAGGTCCCAAAGGCCTGGACGTGAACTCACTAGAACTTGAGTAAGTTTTTTGTTGTTTGTTTTGAAATGGGGTCTCATTGTGTAGCCCACACTGGCCTCCAACTTGTGTTGATCCTCCTGCTTCAGCCTCCAGAGTGCTGGGATCACAGGTGTGTGTCACCACACCTGGCATTATTTGTCTTTTTGTAACTGGCTTCTTAGTATAATGCCATCAAGTCTCATTCATGGTGTAGATTGGTCAGTGTCCTTCCCTTTTAGAGTCAGTCTGATAGCTCCTATGGCACAGATGTACTTGTATAGTACTGCGTTTTGCTCATCCACCTGTGTGTCACATGTTGGGTCTTAGGGTCCCCCAAGCTGAAATAAGGAATTTAACCCACCCCTTTAAATTTTTAAGGGGCTGGGGAGATGGCTCAGTGGAGTAAGTGCTTCCTTGGCAAGGGCCTGAGTTCAATCCCCGGTTCCGCCAAAAAAAATTAAAAAAAAATTCTTTATTTATTTCATGCAGGGTCTCACTACGCAGCTTGGACTAGTAGTCATCCTCCTGTCTCAGCCTCTCCAGTACTGGGACTACAGATGTGTGCCATCACACCTGGTTTTGGTGGCTCACACAGTGAGCCCAGCGGTCCACGGCCAGCAAAGCGTGTGGTACCAGGGATTGAACCCAGGTCCTCGCGCTTGTCAAGCAGGCGCTTAGATGGCTGAGCTATCTCCCCAGCCCTAACCCATCCCTTTAAAGTGAGTATGCAGGTTCACTGGCTCTGATCCTGAAAACAGTTTCAGGAGGTCTTGGTAAAGGAAGCATAACAAGGATTTCTGAGAGCCAGATACAGGAAATGAGGCAGGATATAACTGGGAGCTGGGAATCTCCTATTTTTTGGGAGGCGGAAATCTGTGGAGTTGGATAATCTGCAGTCTTAGTCTTAGAGGCTATTCCTATGCGAATGCCCCGGGGTGGTCCATTCTAGGGTGCAATGCACCATTTCCAAGTAGAGGGGAAGGCGGACCTGTTTGCTGTTGAAAGGGAGGTGTCCAGCTTTGCTGTTCTGAGAAGGGAAAAAATAAATAAATAAAGCAGCCGTGTGTTCTGAAGCAGTCATTCTTTAAAGTAAATTTTTAAAATTTTGATTTTCTTCTCTCCTTTCTACCTAACTTTATTTCTTATATTTTGCCTCAGGTGGACCCAGGGTGTATTGGGTTTCTTTCTTTTTTTGGGGGGGTGGGGAGTAATGCTGTAAGTCAAACCCAGGATCTTGAAGACGTTAGGCTATTCTCTATCACTGACCTATATTCTTAGCCTAGAACTATTTTTTTTTGTACTGGGGAGTTGAACTCAGGACCTTGCACTTGCCAGGCAGTTGCTTATGTCGCTGAGCCATCTCTCCAGGCCTTGGAACTGTTAATTTTTAAATTGTGGTAGCAGCATTACATATATGTATGTATATGGTTTTTGTCATTGCTTAAGAAAAAAATTATTGTGTTAATATTAATAAAAGTAGCTGGGCATTGTGATGCATTTCTATAATCCTAGCCCTCAGGAGGCTGAGACAGGAGAATTGATGCAAGTTTGAGACCAGCCTGGGTTACAAAGTGAGCTCAAGACTAGCCTGCACTGTCTAGGGACACCGTGTCTCAAAAAGACAAAAAAAATTCAGCAAAGTTATGGCAAAGGATTTAAAAGGCAGATATACAACCAGTTATGGGTTATAAAGTAACAAAGGATTTTTTACCTTTAAAATATTAAGCACACCTATAGATTTTTTTACCCTTAAAATATTAACCAGACCCAGAAAAGAAATTAAATCTGAAAGATTAAATCTAGCATTAGCATGTGCACTATCTCAGAAAGCAAAAACATTTAATGATTCATTGTCTCATTTATTTTAAATTTTATTAATTATTTTTATTATTGTTTTTTGAGACAAGGTTCAGGCTGGTTTACAACTTACTATGTAGCCCTGGCTGGCTTTGAAATTGAGGTTATCCTCTTGCCTCAGCTTCCCAAAAGCTAGTGATATAGGACCTCCAAATGATATAGGGGAAATAAATACAAATCCCAACCTACTAGATGTCAGATACGCCAAGTTCATGGTCCTCAAAATCAAAGCATGAATTCTAAGGAACAATGGAGGTTAAGAATAGGAAAACTTTATTGAGAGAGTTCTTGAAAGATAGGAGGGGACCCAAAAGTAGGTTGCCAAGAAGAGCCCACTTCTCAAAGACAATTTTATAGAGCAAAATCCCAAGGTGAGTACAATGTGGGCCAAATCTATGATCAATAAGGCTACAAGTATAGCTGCGTAGGAAGTATTGATCCAATGGGGAAGCAGACCATGTAGCAATGGTGCATGGAAAGAACAAGCACCCCATTTGAAGGTCCTGGTCACCCACATGGGTGACTGATGTTCATCTAGACTTTACTAGACAGGCGGTACCAATGATAGTATACTGTATTGTGTATCCCTTGGGAAGGTATGCAGGCCTGTTCATTAGGCCTGGCCTTAAACAGATGTGACTCCAGCCACAGTTGTATTGTGTTTTTGTCTTTTTTACTGACTCTCTCAAGGGCTTAGCCCTGCTTGGCTGCCTGTAATATTGTACCTACTTTAGCAGTCTGTGATACAGGGATTAAGGGTATGTGTCAACACACTTGATTTAATTTTTATCAGTATGCGTTCGCCATACATAATGATTTCATTCATCCTGTGGAGTTGGTCCCTCTACATGATATATCTTCATCCCTTTTTTATGTCTCTTCTAATGTATTTTTCTTTTTTTAATGTATTTGGATCAGGGTCTCACTACACAGCTTGGACTTGTAGTGATGCTCATATTTGCAGCCTCAGTGCACCCGGAGGCGGTGCTGGTGATATCTTTCTAATGTGTTTTTTCATTATCTAAAGAGAATACAAAATAGTAAAGAAAAAAATTAGAAATGATTCTAAGGTATTTCTTGACCTTGTCCTAAGTACAGTGCTTTCAAACTTCAAAAAGAAAAAAGGGCCTGGTATGATGACACACTCCTGTCATCCCAGCACTCCAGAGGCCAAAGCAGGAGGATCACTGTGAGTTTGAGGTCAGCCTGGGCTACCTAGTGAAACGCTGTTGAAAGCAAGCAAGCAAGCAAGCAAGCAAGCAAGCAAGCAAGCAAGCAAGCAAACAAGCATGCCCAGCCACGTACTGAGTTGAGGTGTGGTAGCCCAAGCCACTCTGGGAGGCTGAGGCAGGAAGATGACAAAGCAGGGCTCAGTTTGGGCAACTTGGTGAGACCCTGTCTCCAAATTTAAAAAGGGCTGGAAATAGAATTCAGTACAAAGGCCTGGGATTCTATGCCCAGTACTGGAAAAAAAAAAAGACCCAGGTTGAGCGTTTAATTTGGGAATCACTTGAACCAATTGTAAAATTTCTGTGCACTGAGGGGGTGGGGTGGTGGTGCACACCTATAATCCCAGCACTTTGGAGGCTGAGGCAGGAGGATTGCTGTAAATTGGAGTCTCACTTGGGCTAAATAGTGAGTTCAAGGGTTGCATGAATTGCATACTATCCAGAACAACTTCCTAGCACCACCCATGCTGCAAACATATTACAAAGTCAGTAAGTTCTCCCCTCCCCACCCCACCCCACCTAGCATTGTTCCTGGGAACTCTGGCTTGTCCACTGGACTGTGAGTGCACAAGGGCGGGATCCTGTCTCCTCTTCCTCTCCCAAGAGCGTTGCAGCTGTTCCCGCCACGTTCTAGAGAAGGCATGAACGTTTGTGACGAGTGGCGTTTCTAGGGACCCTGGTAACGGTCGCCGCGCGCCCCGTGAGCTTTTGTACTGTGAACCGCAGGCGACGAGTGGGAGGCGCAGGGCCTGGACGGAGCGGACTCAGGGGACGTGGACCGCCGGGTCATTTTGGAGGCGCGGGCTTCGGGCCACCACGCCGAACCCCGAGTTCTCGGCGTGAGTCAGCGGGACAGCGGTGACGCGCACAAGGAAGCTGGGCGACGAGGCTCAGGTCGCTCGCTGGCCCAGTGTGGGCGGCAGCGAGGACCCGGTAGCGATTCCGGGCGACCGAAGCGATGGCCCCCTCCCCGGCAGGACAGGTGATCGCCAGGCTGGCGGTGGGGCGGGGCCCGCCGGATCCACCCTCCCGGGCGCCACTGCCGCTGCGCAGGTAACTCCCGGTCCGGGCCTCGGCACCGGCCACCCCGCACCCCCGCCCTGCGCCCCCGGTCCCTCCACAGTTCAGGCTGCACTCCTTTGTCTCCTCCCCGATGGCGTCCGCACCCTCCCTGGCTCGCAGTCGGAGTCCGTCCGTTGGCCCAGCGCGTCCGGCCGTTTGCGTTCGCAGATCTCGGCGGATCGCGGGGGAACCGGGGACTCGCGCTCCTGCCTGGTGCAGGCGGAGCCCATCCCGCGGCGGCCAGCGTCCTGGCGTCCCTAGAGGCGTGTCCTCCAACCCGGGTTTTTCCCCCCAGCGCCACTTCTTGCGGCCGCAGGAGCCCCGACATGGCGTTGGCGGAAGTGAAGCCCCGCGCGGTCGTCAGGGAGGCTGCCGAGCAGCGCGGGTGATAGGGTCTTTCTGTTCCCTCCGCGGGAGGCCCCTTCCCTTCCACAAGGGCGGTTTCCCGATTGCTTCCTAGTTTAGTTTTGTTTGTTCTGGAACTTCGTGAAAGGGACTCATTCACCAAGTCCTCTGTGGCGCCTGGCTTGGTGTTACCCCTTAAATGGAGGCACGCACCAAGAAGATGTCCCTTGAGGTCTCTTCTCTGGCTTGCCCTAGGCCTGCAGGCAGGTCCCTCATGGGAGCCACTGGCTGCCACACGTGGCGATTGTGTCCTGTGAAGGTGGGATCCGAATCGCACCACAGGCCCAGATTCCTGAGGCTTGGCGCCACGGTGGTAACACATCCTAGTAGGAATGCCCAGGGTGATCGAACACTCTTGGGACCAACACTGGGCGCACAGGATGGATTGTCAACCCCACCCCCTTCCTTTTCGCTTTCCAAATGTGGCTATTAGAAAAACTGAAGTGATGTCCAGCTTGTGTACTGTTTTTATTAGGCGCCGCTGCTTGCACTGTTCCGATTTTACAAACACTAGGTTCCTCCACTGCAAACTTTCAGATCTGAAGAAGTGATAAGAGCTAGAGCTGGCCTTGCAGCCTTTCTTTTCTTGCTTGCTTTTTTCCTTTGCCTTTTAAGACAGGGTCTCACTACTTGGTTCAGGCTGGCCTCAAACTCACATTGATCCTTCTGCCTTAGCCTCCTAAGTGCTGGGAGATTCCAGGTGAGCACCACCAGGCCTGGCTGTGATCTCAATTTTATTGAATTCATTTAATTATTTGCTTTTTGACACAGGGTCTCACCATGGAGTTTAGGCTGGTTTGAACTCACCATGCAACCCAGGCTGCTCTGGAACTCACAACAATTCTGCCTCAACCTCCCAAGTTCTGGGATCACAGATATTCTGCACCATACCTGGCATTAGACATCCCTACACAGCTGATCTCTATGTAGGGCATATTTTCGGGACACTGAGGGCTCAAAAAGTTGAAGAGCTTGTCTAGGGTCATAAGTGAATCCAGCTTGTGTTCCTCCAAGTGTGTCACTAGGTCCCCAGGGGCCTGAGCAAGAGAAAGCTGGGGAGATCCCATCTCCATGAATGACTCTCAGGGACAGGGGGATTGGGGAGAGATGAGTATCCGTGTGCATTTGGGATTTTGGAGCAGGTTCTAGGTTTGGACTAAGAATATTATAGGCTGTAAATCTAGCTCAGAAGCTTGATGCACACCTGTGACCCCTGCACTGTGGAAGGTTGAGGCAGAAAGATCTCAAGTTCAACTCAGCAAATCAGTGAGATCTTGTCTCAGAATAAAAAATAAAATAGGGCTGGGAGTGTGGTGACCCTGGGTTCAATGCCTAGTGGAGGGAAAAAATATACCTGAGATAAGTGGGTGGCTAGTTGGTTCTGGAGAAGTGCAGTGGCTTAGCCTGTGGTTAATTAATTGTAATATGCAGAGAAGGACAGGGCTTAGTGGGGCTGTTGGGGTGAGGGGAGTGGCAGTTTATTTCCCTGATTGTGGTCAGCTGGTTCAAATGGAATCTGCAGTTCTGAAGATAGCTCTTAAGTGAGCTAGCTCTTGAAGTTCGTTTTAACAGTAAACAGGTGTCAGAAGCAGTGGGGCGTGTCTTTAATCTCAACACTTCTGGGGCTGAGGCAGGAGGATCGGCAGCAGATTACGGGCTACAGAGTGAGTTCAAGGACAGCTGGAACAATGTCATAGGGAGACCTTGCCCTCAAAAAACAGTTGACTATTAGAAACATTGGGGTGAAATCCAGGGCCCGGAACTGAACCACTTCTTTAGTCTAAGGGTCAGTGGTTTTTTTTTTGTTGTTGTTCTTTATTTTTGCAAGGGTGAGATCAAACCCACAGTGTTAGCAATTGCACGTTAGGCAAGATTTCCAACACTGAGCTGCACACCCCCAGTACCTCCAATAACCAACTTTTTTTCTCCTTTTTCTGTCTCTATCTCTCTGTGTGTCTGTCTCTGTTTCTCTATGTGTCCCTCTGTCTGTCTCTTTCTCTTTTTTTGCAGTGCTGGGAGTTGAGCCCAGAGTCTTTGCACTGAGCCCTTTTTGTTTTGAGACAGGTTAAGACGGGTCTTACTAAGTTGCTAAGTTGCCCAGGCTGGGCTGGAATTTCTGATCTTCCTGCATCAGCCTCCGTTGATGCTAGGATTACAGGCATGCGCCAACGCGCTTGGCCCCACAGCCAGCTTTTAACCTCTTACTCTGTGGTCCGGTTACCCTGGGCATCCAAGAACATTTTCTATAGATGAAATCGTAAAATTTTGGCATCCATGGTACTGCATTCCTGTAAACCCAGCACTTGGGAGGCTGAGGCAGGAGGATACCTCAAGTTTGAGACCAGCCTGGGATACACAGTGAGATCAAGGCCAGCCTGAACTATATCATGAGACCCTGTCTCAAAATATTATGTAACACATCAACCACTGTCGAATTCCTAATATTTTGTTGGGTGAAATTCTGTATCATTTCTAATGTCTGTCTGTCTGTCTGTCTGTCTTTCTTTTGCCATTTTGTATTTTCTTTAAAAAATAAAAAAAAATTAGAAAAGCAAAAGGAGAAAAACCTACAAGATTCTACTTTGTTTCAAAGATTTGAAGCATTTAGTTAAAGCCATAAAACACTGTGCTTTTTGAGGAAATATTTCTCTTCCCTGATCTTGCATTTCACTGCCTCACAGAGTACATCCGGGGGTCGCCACGTGGCCACTGCTGCACCAATGAAGTACATCCTGGTCACTGGCGGGGTCATCTCCGGCATTGGCAAAGGGATCATCGCCAGCAGCATTGGGACCATCCTCAAATCATGTGGGCTCCGAGTGACGGCCATCAAAATTGACCCCTATATTAACATAGATGCGGGGACCTTTTCACCCTACGAGCACGGTAGGAAAGAGAACTGTGTCGGCCTATTGCAACCCTTTTTGTGTTTGGGGTCCTACCTTTGGGCTGCAATCCTTGGAAGTACACTTGCAGGCTAAACCCGCATGGACAAGTGAATGTCCTTGTCACAGCTGGTATATGTTTTTGACTGATGGCATTTGAAATTAGTCAAGCCTTTTGGAAACATGGTAGCTCTTGCTGTGGATCATGTTTAGTTTTATTTTATCATACAGCTAATGTTCTTCTCTTAACATTTCCCATTACCCAGAGTAACCATGATCAGTGCCCATATTTTGGAGTGTTATTTGAAAAGGCCTTAGCCTTTCCATACCATTTGTTAAAATGTCTTTACTTGTGTGCAAGAAAGTGTGTACGTCGCCATTGGACAGAACCTATTGTGTAGCCATTCTGTTCCCATCAAGAAACAGAAATTCAGAGGCGAGGGAGATGGCTCAGTAGAATAAGCGCTTCTCTGGCAAGCACAAGGGCCTGAGTTAAAGCCCTGGTTCCGCAAAAAAAAAAAAAAAAAGGAACAAAAATCCTTTGTTTCCTCATCCTCTCTCTCACTCAGCCCACGACTCCCAGGGTAACAAAAATCTGGTCTTCTAACACCATGAATTCAGTGTGCGGATCTTTTGTTTGTTTCTTTCTTCTTTTTTTTTTTTTTGCAGAACTGGGGATTGAACTCGGGCCCTTGCGCCTGCCAGGGAAGCGCTTATTCCACTGAGCCATCTCCCCGGCCAGTGTGTGGTTCTTTTGGTACTGGGGATTGAACCAGGGCCCTGTGATGCGAGACAAGTGCTTTAGCGCTGAACTACCTCCCCTGCCCTATTTATTTTATTTGTAAGAATTGACATAAGCTCTCACTAAGCTGCCCAGGAGGGCTTTAAACTTGTGATCCTTCTGCCTCCACCTCCTTAGTTGCTGGGACTACAGGTCTGTGCCACTGTGACTAGCTTTTTTTTTTATTTTTTATTTATTTGAGAGAGAGAGAGAGAGAGAGAGAGAGAG